CAAAGTATCTCGACACCCACATAAAGCATCGTACGCTGTTTGAAATTTCTGAGAAAAATGGCTAAATAACAATTTATTTAATTGTTATTTTACAATATTCAACCAAAACAGTTAAACAATCGTTGATAAGAAGATATTCAAACTGTCAAGGACTGAAACTGTGAGAAAAACCATTCATTAAACTGCTTTCCCTTAATACGGTTAAACAGCCAGAATTTTATCGCGCCAACTATGCCCATATAAAGAAGCCACTTAGTTCCTTTCAGTTGCGCACATATTATAGTCGAGAAGGTTAATCTGCCAATCTCTTGACCAACAGAACCGGGATTTGAGTCACAGTGTTAACACCACAATATTTCCTCTGGATTATCCACAACCTTACTCAAATGTCCATTGCCTAATGAAAAGTCCAACTCCAAATCCCAGTTAAATTTCTTTTTTAGTGTTTTCAAACAATGCTAGTTGTATATGGTTAAGAAATCGTATAGTTTTGTATTCATGATTTTTAACCATACTACAGTTGCAAATGGTTTCAAAACCGCAAAGGTAAAAATGTTCTTTATTGTAAGCTTTATGGTTAATTGGAATGACAGACTGCTGCCAGTTATTTTACTTTAATTTTAGAATGAAAATTCTAGCAGTGTAGTGTGGGGTGTTTGTCATGGGTCCCTTAGCTCCTGTGATTCGAAACATGAACTCTGAGATTAAAGATGAGTCTGGGTAACGATGCTCTTACAACTCTCTGAAAATGTATTGTCGGTGAAACCCATTTCACTTCCAGCAAGATCTATTGCCGTAAGAACAGCTCATTTATTCATCAAGAATGCTGCGAACATACTTTGACGAAAAGGGTGCTCAAAAACTATATTGACCTTCTTATATAGAGTGGATTTAAATTCCATAGAACAATACAAATTAGAACAACGATTATGTGGCCAGCTGAATTGAGTTTATCCTTATAGGTAGCACTAACTGTGATGAACGCGTTGAACTAATCAAAACTGTCTCTTCCGACGTGGTATTTAACTTGTCATCGATATAAAAGGGGGACGAAAGTTATATTTATTAATATATACCTCTGCAGCATATACGGATACGTTAAACCGGATAGTATATGTAAATAAAAAGAATACTGGTATATGTACACTGGTATATCTAACACTTGTTAATGCAGGTAAGTAAATATATATCTTTTGATAATACTTTTTCAAAATTTTTTGTCGAAACTAACGTTTAGATCAAATGCTACAAGAAATGCTTCTGCAAATATAGATTTTTAAAAGTATAAGAAGTAAAAGTTAACATTTTATTAAATTTTATTCAAAAAAATTGAAATAAATGAAAAAAATAATGAAAAATTAAAATTAAATAAAAATAAGTTGAACTTCTATAGACAAAAGAATTTTTCGTCGCAATATATAAATTCGTAAATCATTTCATAAATGCATAATGAAACTGAAATAGAGATTGAAATTATGAAATGAGAGAGTGCGTGTTTGTTGTCTGTGGTTAACATTTAGGCGGAAGTATGGGAAAGATATTTCTGCCACCGGCTGGTATCGCAGTATGAGAATTTTAAAAAAAAATATTTTTAAATTTCAACTTCTCAGGAACTATTCGGCTGATTACGCTTAAGTTTAGTATTTTTCCAAAAAAAAAATACATTCCTTACTATTCAAAATTTTTTTAGACTATTATTAAATAAAATAATAAAAAATAGCAAATATTTATCATAAGTTATTTTGTTCATGGAGTTATCTTTAAATGTATTACGTTTATAGTCGCGAGCAAATATTTCTTAGTTTGGTTTAAAAGTTGTCGAGATATGGAAAATACGAAAATGATAAAATAACATTAAAGGGTCATAACTTTGAACCACACTTTTCAGCAAACTATTAGAACCATATCGTTGCTACCACATACATTTTGGGGGTCACAAATCCATATCCGTCAACAAAAAAATAGGTATGTTTATTCAGAGAAAGTACATTTTCTTCTGATTTAATAATTTAAAATATACTGTGTGATAACTAATTTCCATATTTGAAATTACCTCCTGAACTATAAAGATTGAGTCCTAAGACGTGAAAATTCGATCATTAGGGATCAAAAGTTATTCAAAGGTGGTCCATTTATTTATTTATTTTTTGCGCATTGCGAAACGAATTAGGAACTTTTATATAATTAGCGAATAAATCACATTGCGATGCAGATTTATTTGCCGAGTTGAAAATCCATTTCAACAAACTTTTAAATGCATCTCTCTTTTTTTGATTTTTTTTTTTTTTACATTTTTTTTCAAGATTACGATTTGAAGTCAAGTATTCCTTATCGAATTTCAGCTAAATAAAAGAATTAAGATCATTTTTATAGAAAGATTTATAATAATTATACGAATTCATTAAATTATGATTGCTAATGAAATAAGTATCAAAAGTAGAGGAAAAAAGCTAATTAAGACAATGTCTAAACGCAAAGGAAGAATTATTAAAAAAAATGTTTCAGTTAATCGTATTATGCTGCAACATTATTTTATAAGTAGTAATAAGTAGTAATAAGTAAGTAGTAATAAGTAAGTAGTAATCCTCATAATGAAGAAAAATATTTTACCGAAAATTAAATGACTGCTTTAATTATAGGACCTAATTTATTTAAGGTCTATTGTCCTCTTAAAAATGGCAAATGACTATACTTTTAGCAATTATTCTTGAAATATAACTTTAAATCAGATTTATTTTTAATAATTATATTATATGAATTTATAAATATACATTATTATATTTTATATAAAAGACTTTAATGCAGGTTCTGTTTAATTTTTGGTATGAGTTAGAAAAAAAACAATCTAAAGCAATTATGGTCATAGCTGCATATAAATTTTAAATATTTCATTCTCCAAAATTAAATATTTATGACGATTTTTAGAAATACATAAGAAAATTTATTCTTTACTAAACACTCTTTAGTTTTCTTTTAGATATTTAATTAATGTAGCATAAGCAACCAAATTTGACTGTTTAATAGTTAATTACAAAATACTTTCCACATCAATAATTTCACTTTTAAATTCATGTTTTGCATGATTTACGATATGAATTCAAGAATTTTTCAGAAAAATTTAGATTAGCAGTGGAATTAAGATCCTTTTTTGGGGGGTCGTAATTCATTATTCATATTAGTTTTACGAATTCATTCATTCATTAATAAACGCTAATGAAATACGTATCAAAATAGAACACAAAACTATGGCAGTTGCAAAATGCAAAATAAATAAAAAAATATTTAATGCATAATCAAGGATATTATATTGTGTAACTATTTCCAACATTTGTAATAATTAAAGGGGCAGTTTATGTATTTGTCACTCTTATTAATTTAGAACCGCTTATGCTAAAATTTTGAAATTCAGACGAAAAGCATTTCTAACCAACAATCCTCAAAGAAGTTCAAAAATTTTAATTTCCTTGTCATTCAAAGACACGTTGCAAAAAGATTTTGTATTGGATTAACATTAAAATTGGATGAAATTTAAACTACTCTATTTAGATATTTAAGACATAACACCAGTGGTGATTTCTTGCTCACAGTTCTTTTTAATTAAAAAAAATGAGTTTCATGTGGTGTTTATAGCACGTTCCTTGATAATTATTCATATCAAATTCTTTATAGTATTAGTAGTTTCAAGAATTGGCATTAGTATTTTTTGGTGAAATCTTCTAATTCTGTTTTAAAGCTATCTGAATCCACGCGTTCATTTGGCTCATAGTTATACTTTCGAAATGTGTTTCGATAAACCGAACTATTGCAAAATCGAAGGTTTTTAAATTTAAAATTTTAGGTTTTATACTAAAGTGCCAGATCATTTGCAAAATTGCTAGACTTAGAGAAATTAAGTCTTGAATGAGCATTCTCCGAGCAATACCAAATTTTTCGCTCCGGAATGATACTGAGTGCAACTAATCTTTATTTTGATGAATTGAATTTAAACAATCATGTTCTTCTTAGTCTAAAAATGAAATGTCAGCAATAAAATAACTAAGAACAAAGGGGAAAATTAAACGTAAGTCTAGATTTATTCCTTTCAGTTTTATGTATGTTTATGTAGTGTTGGTTAATAGTGTTATTCAAAAATCATTTACGATTTTTTGCCTTGTTTAGACAACGGTAGTTCTGCTATTCTTTTAAATAGGTAGTAAACAATCTTTATAGTTGCAGAATGTTTATTATACAATAGGGCTTAATTTGTTCGTGGACTTGTCTTTACTAAGCGTATCGAAGCCAATTATATTGCAAATGTCATTAACTATTATAAAGTAGTTTGAAATTAGAAATGCCTCCCTGTGTCTTTTAATGTAATATTCATCCTTTTTAGTTTAGTGGATAAATGAAATTAATTCAGTACTTAGATACAAAAGTAAAGTTTCAAATGTATTAAAAGATTTAGTTAACAATTCGTGTTTGTAGCAATGATATTATTAAATTAAGAACAATCCAGTTATTTATTAAAGTTTCTTTAGCAATTTAAGTACTTAAAAAACTAAGTCCTATTTTAACGAAATGGTTAACTTTATTAAATAAATATCAGATTTTTTCTAACTTAAGAAAATCATACCTTTTTGCAGGGTTTGCATAGCTTTATAACTGCTAAAATTTTGTGAAATAATAAGCATTATAATATTAATTTCTGAAACTGTTAGGCATTATTTTACGCAAGCATTTTTCAAAGTTTTGGACTCAACTATATTTTAAGAAATAAACTAATATAATTTTAACTATAAAATATAATGGTCTGGAATAACTCAATCAATCTAAAATATCGAGAATAATTCAGTATATCAATCAGTTTAAGTAATAATTATCATAAGTTAATCAAAAATAGCTCATTTCTTTTGAATTTTAAGCTATATTATTGTGGGGAATTTTAAAATTTTTCTTTTGCTCTAGTTCTAAAATATATTTACATTTCGACTTATTTGAACCAGTAAACGAAAACTACTTACATATTATTCGAAACGCTTGATTTCTTTTTGGGACAAATCACCAAATCTTGAAATAATTCCGAAGTGACTGAATTCCGGCCACTATTTGTAGCTTTTGCATAGGAATCAGACAAAAAAGATGAATCTGGCAAAAGCCTTTCTGGCTCATATCCATGACCAAGCATCCAATCCGATATCAAATCAGGAGTTGCATTTTGTAGAAACCATTGTCGTGTAAAACGACCGTGTTCTGTGAGATATTGAGAAACTGTGGACTCCCTTATGTGCTCTGTTGAGCCATTGTAATGTATGATCATCTGATTTGGGTCCTCTACAACAATATCTAAACCAGCCATGTCAGACCCAATCACTGCAATAAAACATATACAGTTATTAATATGCATATTCTAAATATATACAGCAATCAACTGATTTAGGTTCTCTACAACAATATCGAAAACAGCCCTGTAAGATCCAATTACAGCAATAAAAACATATATAAATATTAATATACGAACAGAAACTTATACATAAATATTATGAATCAGGTCCACTACAGCAACATCCAAAACAGGCATGTCAGATTTAAATACTGAAATTAAATTGTATAAAGGTATAATGTATAAACAAACATATGCACTGACCACTTGATTTGGCTCCACCAGAGCAATATCTAGACCAGCCATACTGTGCACAATTATTGCAATAAGAATATTTACAGTTACGAATGCATATTTAAAGCAAAATATTATATAGATTGTAAGTGGTGCCCGATTTTTGGTATTAGAAATTACAGTTTAAGTGCTACACATCATTAAATATGTTAGACAACGGTTTTAAAGCCAACGAATCTCTGTCAAGGATAATAATTATAAAAATTAAGTTTTATTCTTCAGAACCAGTTTATTTGTTACATAAAATAGATAGGCGGTAATTCCAGTTGTGATTGGGGAGAATAATTAAGTAGGGTAGGGCAAAGATTGCCACTGACCACGTGGATTAAAAAAAAATTCAATGTCACTTTTAATTAGTCGTGATCAAAATTCAACTAGCGAGTTTATTTTTTCTCTAAAGAAAGCCTGAATTTTTCAATTTGGCTATCCTTATCTATAAAGTTACCTGAAACTACTATATATTTTTTTTTATAAAAAAGATTTAATATTTTTTAATATTTACATTTTTGGACGTTTAATTCAATTCAATAGGACAAAACTATGTTAAGTCCCACTTCTTCATATGGCGAAGATTTTACATTAAGAAAGCTCCACAGTATAGCTTCCAGATAGGGAATTTATGGTTATCGAAATTTTAGTTTGATAACAGTTCATTAAAAGGAAAATTCTGAATCCGTAAATTCTCCATAACGTACCTCTGAAAATTTTAAAAATATTGCTCATGTGTTAATAAACTCCAAGCTCATCAAATTTAAGAATCATTAAGTTTTTGAATAGAAGCAAATTCTTAGTGATGATTAAAAAATAGTTCTACTTATTATTAAATGTTTTACCATTTGAAATACTGATAAAATATGATGGCAATAAAAAATGTGAATCTTGCTTCCAAAATACTTGCATAGTCAGTTAAGAACCCTCGAATTTTGGTGTTCTTTTTATTATCAATATTTGCGAAAAAGCAATTACAAATATAATAATTCCAAAAAAATTATCACGTTTAATTATCTAAAAAATTGAAATCGTAATTAAGAATTCATTGCATATAACTGAAAAAATATTAAAAATTGAATTTTTGTCTAGAACACGATGTGTCATCATCATCATTAACAAATATCCAGCTTAACTGTAATTTGCATTCAAATTAGGCTTAATGAGGTTTCAGGAGACGAGAAATGTGAAATTCATTAATTTTTTAGTCGGAAATAACAAAAATAAAATAAAAAATAAGGGAAGAAACTCAGTCACACTTCAAGGAATTTGTCTTTAATCAAAACTAATATTTATAGAAAAACTCTGATCGATATATATATATTAATAACTTAAGTTTTACAAAGAATTTTTCTAAAAATATTTCCTTCTAAAGGATTCAAAAACAACATTGCCATTTTATAAAAGAGTATGTATAAACATACTCTTTTATAAAAGGGCAATAAAGAGGGAACTTTTATTCATCATTCAAAAAACTATAAATAAAAGTGGCCGTAATAAACTTATTTTTTTAACGTCTTATTTCCCTGTTTACTTATGAATAGATTTAAAAAGACATTTTGTAAATTGTAAGAGAAAGTAATCAAAAGATACAAGAGAGAGAAGGGAGAAACCAAAAATCTTTCTTTCTTTTTATTACAATCTAAATTGAAATTATATTTTATTCAGACTTTACTTTAAACATTTCGTTGTTACAAAGTTTTTCTTAAAGGAACATTTTAACACAAAATAATTTCGATAAATACGCTTATTCCACTTTTACTAATTATTTTAATTTATTTTCGTCTATATTGTATCAGTAAGTTAAAGCGGATCAACTATAAAAATATTTAGCTCTTTTTGCGATTTTGAAAAAAATTCTCGATACCTGAGTCTTTTTTATCCTATTGAATAAATTTTTAAGAAGATTATATTATTTTTAAATCACTAGGAGGCACTGTAGTTGATGATGGAACAAATTTTAATTAAATATATTTAATTTCATATCATTTGCAAATAGGCTGCCCATACTAAAATCATTTTCAAAGTATTAGCATTAACATTCTATTATATTAACCCAAAAATTCCAGACTGCTCAAATTATTTACATGAATAACTTTTAAAATGAAGGAGTTAAAACGATGAACTTCTAAGTATTTTCCTAGATCGTTCAATAATTAGTATGAGCATGTCTTCTTACAGACAAAGGATTCTGCACAATGTATCGCTCTTGCATGTTTATGAAGCCGATCAAGCTTAGATTATTTACAAATTATAAATATGTTCAGGCTTATAAACATGCATAGAAGTGTTAACTAATTGCACAATCTTGGGAATGCGTGTAAACACCGTCGAAGGCAATCTTCCAAAAAGTATTTGAGTATTGTGTTGCCATTTCTGACATTTTTATTCATTCAAATGTAAAGTAGTTAGATAAAGAAGCCAACAGAAGGTACAGAGGGAATAATAAAAAAACGACCATCATGTATAACTTTTGATCTAATGATTGGATCTTCTTAATCTCTATTAATTTGAGGTCACCACTCGTTCGAGGGGGTGACGCCAAATATGCTAATTATTTACTTTAGACCAAATTTTAAGTTACGAAATCAGACGCAAAATAATATTTTTTTTGAATAAAATTCGATGGATTCGAATTTCAGTTACACAATGTCTTGTTTTCAATTACTTGAATTTCAATTACTTGTTTTCGATGGATTCGAATCTCCGACTCCAAAAGATATAAGGGTTTGGCCCAAGATTTAAGGGGATGGAAGGGCCGCAATCTGGAAAATAGGGTCCTATACTTCAGTCAGAAGCTAACACAAAGGAAGAAGATTCAGTTGCTATAAGATAACACAATCTTGTAACAAGATTGTGTTACAAGAACCTTCTTGTAACACAAATATAATTCGGGATTTACTACCACATCAATCATAGAAACAAAATATTACACCATTAACAAACATTTAATAGTTCTATGTAACAGGCAAACCTATAACAGTTCTATTAGTCATTTATTACTGCATTGAGGGAAAATTTAGTTTTCATATGTAACGAAAACTGTTTCAGCAAAGCTCTTAGATAATTAGTTTAAGTCGTTGCGTAAGCCTTTTGCTCAGGACATGATTGTTGTTTAAACTTAAAAGACACGCGGATTAAGGGGCAGATATTTAAACATTCAGATTTAATGTATTTCCGGCTACCAAAACTAATAAATATGCATATTTATAGTACCAAAATGCATATCAATCATTATTAGACGTATAAATATTTATTGAAAAATTTCTCAACTCATAGCTTGAAATCCGCAGTGACTTGTATACTAAGTTGCAAGTATATTAATAAATAAATACTGAATAAAATGTAAGCATTTGTATCGTATTATTGTTTATTGAAATCAGTTTTCATGATTTAAATTAACAGGTTTCTTAAAAAAAATAAAAATGTGTTTTTCTTTTTGCAGGGAGATCCAAATTCAATGTTAAGAATATTTACGTATTTCTCTCGGCCATAAATTTTTCACAGTTTTTAGTCAAATACAGATTGTAAATATCAAGGAAAATCTCCTCTGAAAAACTTAATAATATTACAATTTAAAAGTCCTATTAAAGTACAGAGTTACTTCTAACTCTTTTTACAAATATTTTTTTAAAAAATAATAAAACATCACTGTGATTTTTTCATCAATGATAAGGTAATTTAACACTAAAATATNATATATATATATAATTTTTGGACATAAAGAATAATGTGTTCACTTACATGACTCGATCGATGACGATTTTTCCCGATCCTCAACACCAGTACGGGAAAAAATACTAACCAAGCGCATATTTTATTATTTTTCTACCTTTTCCTCAAACAGCTAATTCCGTCTCGAAACCGTCAGCAATAAAATGGCCCAAAGAAGGCCTAAATTGAATCGGTCAGTCTTTGCGGCGGAGTTGTCGCCTCATTACCTCAATGAGATTTAGCGAGAGAGCCTCTCTTAGAGAGTTGACGTCAAATGGCCATCACTCCGAAATAATGTCAAGAGCACAGGGAGCCCCCTTTTTTTTATTCTTTTTAAAGATATTCTTAGAACGTTTTAGGATTTATATAGTCAGGGATTTGGTATGAAGAAGGTATTGTGTTAAGCTCAATGAGTGGTATTGATTTTCTTTCATTTGATAGTTTCTTTTTTTAGCAAACGAAACAAGTTGCATAGAAATTTAAATTGTTAATTGTCTTTGACCTGTAAATGAAGGATTTCGTGGACACAGATCTGATGAATGGACTAAAGAAACATGATTTATTTCTTTTTTTAGATAAATTAACAATGTATTTTGACAAACACTAAAACGTTATGCTGAATTATTTAAGTATTGACATAAGAACGTTAATTAAAATTAGAAACTTCAAAAAGAAGAACCATTTTAGCCTTTGCCCAAAAAAGATGCCAGATATTGAATGTATCGAAAAGTATTATGTTATATTAATCAATATTTTTTTACGAAATATTATTATACAAAATAATATTTTGCAATGAAATAATAAATAATTCTTACCATACAAAATACTTTTTTACGAAATATTATTATACAAAATAATATTTTACAATAAAATAATAAATAATTCTTACCATACAAAATATTTTTTTGCGAAATATTATTATACAAAATAATATTTTACAATAAAATGATAAATAATACTTACTATACAAAATATTTTTTTACAAAATAATATTTTTTTAAAAAAGAATACTGTTGTATTGAC